CTACCAGGTGTTTCACTTTCACTAGGATCTAGGCCAAGACATTCTTACCACAACAATCAAACAGACAGGTCAAGTAGCATGCTGAAGACAGGAGACGTTGGGGCTATCCGACTATCCATACTCAGGACCCTAAAATCGGACTTTGTACGACTATGAAGGTCTAGATCCCATGGGGAGATAACTAGCGGTCTCCAGTGTGGACGGGGATTAGGGTGATCAATGTATCTCACACCTCTACGGAGTAGCGCACGGCATCAAGTCCAGCATCTTACGTATGTCTACACCTGACTACAGGGCGACCATAGAGTACGGAGTAATTGAGCTCAACTATCTCTGTCAGCAAGGATCATGCTGTCATGGGGTACCAGGAGATTGGAAGTCGAGTCTCATTCGCTCCCGGGGTCCCGACTCATCGTCGACACGAGAAAGGATGCTGCTAGCACAGACGGAGCTGACAGCTAGCTGCAGCTGTGGTTGCCTTAGGGCGCAACAGAAATCGCGGGGTTGTCAGCTAATCACCGCTCTTTTTTTTAGCCATAGCTACTAAGCTGTCAGTAGTGTTTGTGATATCTTACTGTGATTACCTTGCGTCAAGAAGACCTGGAAATCATTCCTGCGTTTGAACCTTGCTTATTATGATAAGTTGAAATAAACTTCGCTAGGTACTCCATGTCACCGAGAAGGCGCCTGATGCAGCAGTTCCCTTTGCAATCACGTGTGTCCACTGTGGGATGTTCAGTCGCGATGGAGAGTCCAGAGTCCCGTATGCAGGTAGAATAGCTTCAACTGTCACGCTGATTCTGCAATCCTGACTCCGACTTGAATTGGCTCTAAGGGGTAGTAGCTTAGTGAAATATAAGTAGAATGGACTCCTACTCTGATTGCGTTGTTCCACTGAATTTATGAAGCTGCAACAGATCTCACATTAATGCGTACCGTTGGTCATCATCCGTAATACCCGGTGTCCCGGCCACCTGGCCAGGAAAACTTTAGGTAAGCTTGTTCGAGTCAGAATGAGGCTAGACAGTTTCGAGCATATTAGTCTTTGTTGGACAATAACATTCCAGTAACTACTCTGTATCCTGTTCTTGATCATTTCCCCCTGACTCTCTCCGAGCCAACCTTCACGCTGGATCGACGTATCCACCCCGTATAATTGAGGCGGAGATACAGTTGAAAACTCGACCAGGGAGTATCAAATCAGATCAGACGGTCAATCTTGCTTAGCTTGGGCAAATTTAAGGAGCGCTCTATTAAGGTACGGGACGACAGGGGCCACGGCTTAACAATCCACAAGGGAACAATTGAGTTGTAGGAGCCTTGAACTGTTTCGGTGAGGTTAACGAGGCCACTAGCTGACCCCGAGGATTGGGGATGCTGTCTCATTTGATACTGAATGTACTTCGTACCGCATGGCTGATCGCTCCCTACTTCATAGCCACCGAACGTTACGCCGAGCATTCACATGTCCCTGTGTGCCATGTTTACACTGCCTGCTTCGTACTTTCTCACTGGCTTAATCTGAACACCTCATGCAGGGACTTGGACTGTTGGACAGTTCCGGCGCGTGGGAATATCGGCCAAGACGAAACAAAAGACGTGAAAATGGACAGGTAACGCGCTGACACACGGGCAAGTCGCAAGGCGAAGTAAAGTTTGTCTTGCTGGAGGCGTTACAAACTTTGGGCTTTTTGGGGACTCGAAATCATCGAATCAACAACGAGAGCAGAATCACCTGTTGCTATTTACCTTTTTGCTTCTGATGATCGAGCAAAGTGAAGCAATACTTGCTGGATGCTACAAATACCCTGAACTCTGATCTGGATAGAGTGCAAGAGCTTGGGCCATGCACTGGCCAGGACTGAAGTTGTAAGTTTGATCTCTAACTCTGTGATCCTGTGAGCCCACATATCAAGGTTCAGGACAGCTTGGCTCTAAGCTTTGTACAGGGACGGGTCCTACCACTTAAACTCCAGGCCGGCTCCATGGGTTTGCCTGTTGTGACCCACAATGTTATTTGACGGCTGACTCGTGTAACATGTGTTTCTGGTATTACAGAACGTACAGGACCGTTTTATTCTGTCGCGTGGTACGAGGTATACAAATTTACATACATACCCCGTACCTACTCCATACAGTGGCCAACCTCCACCTCACACTTCGATAATCAAACTCAAAAGTGCTGATTCTATACAGATCCAAGAGACAAGATAGTCCGCTGCGGCGAAGGCCGAGGACGCTTCTCCGAATATCTCCGTCGAAAGGTTAAGCTAACTCAGGTCCAGATAGGCCAAAAATCCCAGTACGAGACTTATGGCCTGCTTGTGCTTGAACTGTCTTGCCACACTTCCAGAGGAAATTGGTTCACCCGGTGTATCTCCGGAGTACCTCTAGGGTACTTGCTGTAGAGCTGCATATTATAGCTTCTCCAGCTTGTATCTCGTAGGTACATAGCTCGGAGAACCTGGTCAAGTACTTCCAAAATGTCGCAGCGAAGGCCGGAGAACTTGACTTTTGGTGGTGGCAACTGAGATTGAGTTGACTCTGCGGACGGTTATGCACGGCCAATCTGTTCCTACTGCTGCAGGCGAGGACGATTCCTGGAATACACCATAGGTGGAACCAGCCGGCAGATGAGGCAAAAGAATGTCTGGCATCGCGAAGATCTCTCGGCTTTCGGTGCCTTGATGCTCTGCGTCGTCATCACGATGATCTAGTTGTCTCAATGGAGTTGCAGGTTCCTCATGTGCCGGTTAAAAATGCCCATCTTTGCTTTTGCAATGGCAGATGGGGCGTGCATTGCTGGGCTCGTTATCGTCCTCGGCGTACATTCGGTGTTGACAATGTGATTCCTAATATCTGCTGTGCTCTTTCTAGGGCTCATCGTTCCACCCTATAGGATCAATGCCTTTGGATCTTCCCCCTATGCCAAGGTGGAGAATTCGAAGTCACTTTGCAGTACGATACAGCAGAAGACGTTTACCCACATCTAAATCTTGATACAGGGTCCAGAAAGGAGACCAGTCTCGAACTTCCCACTGCAGTCTGCACTGTGCACAGGATGGTTTGKTATTCGCGGGTTCCACCGAGTAACATCCACCTACGTACTTCGCTCAGGGTAATTGGATGCTGAGCCTATGGCTTGTCCGCGGATTCGCTATGAGATGAGATATCTACACGGGCCATGTGGACAAAGGTACGGAGTATTTGACGGGCATTAATGGCCTGCTCACCTCTCCATCTGCATCTCTCTATAACTTTTGACTTTGGTTGATTGAAACAGGAACCAGAATCGAGTTCCTGGGGATCGAAAAGTTAAGTGATTAAGCTTACGCAATCGGACGCCTTAAGCTTGTTTGGTTGACCGAGTCTAACCAGGGGGTTCATTGCTACCTGATTCTCTGTACCCGCTGGATCTATCCTTGCGCTCCCCCAAACCATCCCATCCGGGGTATCAACGTTGTACGACCCTCCCACAGGGTGAGCGGTCACACAATACAATGGATTGACAGTGGACAGTCACACAAGTCAAGTATTGTAACACGAATCCGTCTAGCTGTCCGCTCCACTTTGAAGACTTGTGTCCAACGGGCCGTTTAAACTTTGGTAGCCAAATGAGCTCCTAGATCCTGATATTGCAGTGACCTGTGTCTCCTTACTCTAGCAAGCATTGAAAGTGTTACTCCGTGTTGTAAATGGAATTTGCTTTCATGTAAACTGTGTCCAACTGACCGTACTGGAAGACCATAGTCCTAAAAGTAAGGTGTCTTGGGTACTTCACTGTGTCCGCCATACTCCGTAGAAATGGCCAAATATTGTGGCGTGACCAGCCGTCCAATCAGAGCATGGCAGTGTCATACCGTCTGTGAGTGCCTAAGGTTAAGGTAAGGTAAGGTAGACACTTAGCTTCCCGCCTCAGGCTCCATCCATCCAGAACAGCTAGCAAGCAAACTTTCCACAGTAGTACAGATTTCGCAAGTACACTAAGTACGACACTCCAGGTGAGATTATGATTTACAGGCAAATTTGCAAACTGCATCTGGCAAATCCATCCGTCGTCTAGATGTACCCATAACGGTATGCACTGCTTTTCTAGATTCGCCATCGAATACCCCATAGACTAGATCTTGTGGCTATGACCACGGCACCCGACACTCTTTTCGGAATATGGATACTCTTTAGCCACGCCCAATCTTACCTAAGAAAGTCAACTTCATATTCATGATTCAAGAGACTCACGAACCCAAGCCTCCGGGCTTCATGGCAGACGATCGATTAGCGAATCACCATTCAGCAGATAGTAATCTCGTCGACTGAAGGGGACCTCGGGGAACTTCGCGGGCTAATCTCATTCGAGTAAAATTTAACGAAAGATCCGCGCATGAGCGGTTCTGAGTGGTTTTCTTCGTGTTTACTAATTTGGGTGTTAGACTTGGACTTGGGAATGTGGCGTGGGGCCCGCGACTGGGGCAGTTAGTTATATTAGGAGCTCGTATTTGGGTAGGGGGCGGGGACTCTTTAGTTTGACATCTCGCTTCTGGCTTCTCTTGACACTTGAGCAGGTGATTGAGGCCGAGGTTTTCCGATCTGGTCTGGATCATACGGGGGAGATTACGATTATCGTTATGACTATGACCCCATGTCTGATGGTGTATGCTGTATGCTGTACAGTGTACAGTGTGCTCCATACTCCGTACAGATGCTGCATACCGTATTACCCGACCAGAGCGAAGATTGTGCAATACAGCATACTCTGGGGTAGTGGGATGTTGGAGCGTGGGGGTGCCACAGCGATAGTACGTGGTACTTTGCGATGGTGATTGCATAGCATCGTTAACAGCACAATGCCCTTATCCACGGCATAACTGATATGCAGATACTTTGTAAAAGCCCTCTTTGTGTATCGCGAGATGTGTGCCATACTCTATATGCGTCCAATGTCATGGTATCATCACAGTATACTTACAATCTACCCCAAAGGTCAAGCGTTCCCTCGTAGTCTACCAGCTAATCTTCCCTCGTTCGCGATCAAACCCGCCTCGAAGCTGCAGCCCAGGTTTGACCACCTTCCCCTGCAGGACCGTATACTTGACGATATTCTCGCAGTCCTCCGGCCGCACGCGCGCCAGCCAGATGCCCTGCGCCGCGCCCTCGTCTGCCTCGCCTGTCGTCTTCCCTTGCGCGTCCTGCCCCGGTTTCTCCTTGCGATACCACTCAAAGTCCCGCCGCCGGTAAACAATCACATTCGCTGCGTACTTGTGCCCCCCAACGTGGCTGATGAAGTAGATGCCCACGCCGCCAGGCCGCTCATCGTTCAAGTCGCGGTACAGCTCCAGGGCCCGCAGATGGCGCTCGAACTCGCGCCGCAGTAACGGGGCGGACTGCCCGCAGCGCGCGTCCCGGGTGCGCTGCGAGCAGAGAAGGATCACGGCTGCATGGCCGCAGGGCCGGGACCGCAGCGGAGTCAGCGAGCTGATATCCACTGGGGCGGGCTGCTCCTCGCCCTCTGGTCCTGTCAGGGGCTCCGGGATGCTTCCGAGCGGTGTGGTGGTCGTCGGCGCGCGGCTGACAAAGTACTTGATGAGGTCGGGCGCAAGAGCCGGAGTCACCTGCTCCACCACCGTGAAGGCGGGCAGGATCAGGACGTTGGTAGGCTGCTCGCCTGGCTCGTGGTGGTGATACTCGTCCGGCACGGGCATGTTGGACGCAGACAGCTTCAGATTCTACCAAATATACATTAGCAAGACTCATCCGTGAATGCTGAATGCACGGTGACATGACATACCCCATTGCTCGGCTCCAGTCCCCCCTTCTCGATCGCCTCCATCAAGCTGCCCTTCTCGTCCGCAACATCCCTCACCCAGTCTGTCTTCCCGGTCGCGACGAGCAGATGCGTCGCCCACCCGTTGACGTGCCCGTAGAGCTCATCTTCGTAGTCCACGTCGAACCTGGCGGGGTACTTCACCGTACACGACGCACAGTCGTGGAGGCATTCCTCCCCATCAACAGCCGGGTCGACCTTGGGGAACAACACATCGTGTGACGGCGCCTTGCGGAATTCATCGAAATCCCCGCTCTCCTTGGGGGAGCCGGATGGCGTCGAGCCAAACAGCGAAGCTCCTCGACGGAGAAAAGCCTGCATGCTGGTTTTGAATCAAAGTGCGCAGGTTGCATGCAACAATGCAATTGTTTTGGATGATTTGATCTGATTTTAATCAGATCTTATCAAGATTACGTTAACTCTTGTGCCAAGAACGGAAAAAAGACCGGCAAGTGGAAACTACGTACATAGTGTCTCACTCTCAGGTACGGAGGACGAAGCTATGCCGCATCTCCGATTGGCTTACGTCACGGCTATGTACATACCGCGACCAGCGAACGTGCGAATATTTTGACAGCATTAGCTACATTTAAGGAATGGAGGCCAAAGATATATTAGTTGGTTTCTTGTAACCAAAAAAGCTCATGATCTACTATTTGTAGGACCCAAGTTGTAAGCATAAGGCAGATCCGACGGCCCGCGGGGATCTACCAAGCGAATCACACTGCCCGCCGATGAACTGCCTGAGATATTCGACTGCACGCGTCTAAGCGATCGGATCGACGGCGTGCGAGGAGGGGCCAATGTGCGATACCGATCGTGATGTCTGGATGCGACCGGCGATCCACGACTCTGTGCAGTAGGTGCAGTATGCACCGAGCGGCTCTCCCAGGTCGACGAGGCGACCGAAGGCTGCAAGCTATTGCTACGGCGACGAGACATCGCGTCGCTGTCATCCAAAAACTCCATGGTATCCGTCTCGCCTTCTTCATCGGAGGGTCCAATCACGGACTCGCTGTCACCGCGAGAACTTCCTCCTCTGATGTCATCCAGTATCCGAGCATCCAGGTATGTCATCCCCCGCAAGACATCCGCAAAGACGTGCATCAGCTCCCTGAATTCATCCTCGTGGAGCTCGCGAGACGAAAACCGGGCCCGTTCGTAGTGAGCCAGAAACTCCGCACCGATTTCCGGGGGATTGACCAGGTTCAATGCCGTAAGATGCTGAAAATACTCCCTCAATCCCATCGACGCGGGTCTCCGTAGTACTTCCACAACTCGCGTATCCGGAACTGACTGTCCATGATCGGAGAGGGAGGGATCGAACCGATGATGGGCGGCAGCCGACAGAAAGGGATCCGGAGGCGCAAGCGAAACCGCCTTGGCTTCGATCAGGTGTGGCAGTTCCTGCACAACTGCGCGATATGGCAGGTCTGGTAGATCAGGCGACGAAGGGGACGACCATCCTGGATGTTCGACCTTACCCCACGGCGGCCGGTCGCGATCCACCAGGAGCATCGGATAGTCAGCGAATTTGTCCCCGTCTGCCGCTATGTCTCTCGGACGCGCCTGGTAGGCGATGATCGCACTGCGAGCAAGACCCTCCACTACTAGCCGGCGGACGCTCTTTCCGACATCTTCCTTCTCGACGGGAATCCATGCTTTGGGGATGGCAGATAAAACGGTACGATTCGTGTAGATCCGTGTCGCATATATGAGCGCTGCGAGGATGAATGTCGCCACATACGCACCGGTGATGAAGAAGATGTTGATGAGCCGGTGCGTTTTATAGCATTGGTAGATCGCGTCGGCGGGTGTGAGTATTGCTAGGCAGATTAGGAGCACGGAAAGCAAAACGAAGGCAGCATAGTTGATGACGCTGTACAAGTTCAGGACCATAGTCATGGGCGCAGACTACTGCGCTGCACAGCTCTCGCCCTCATTGAATCTCAAAGCTCGAGGAACGTGGATGATGGATGATGCAAGATAGGAAGATTATCCACGGTCGTGATACCTCAAAGGTCACGTGATATGGAATAGGAGAAGAAACACTACTCGTTGCGCTGAAACAGAATGAACCCAGTGGACGATGCTAGACACTCGCTTCCAGCTAGAGCGAGCCATAATCCGCAACGTGATATCTACCTATGCTGATTTACCCAAATTCATAACGAAGGCTTATGTAACAATGTTCTACGCGTGAACGAGGAAACGAAAGAATAACGAACATGAAAGGTTAACGGATGAGACCGTCTAATCCGACACGGCAACCTCATCCTCCCACTGAGGATCAATCTGAGGCCGAAGCTCAACGGATTCTCCACGAGCACGACGGATCACTCTCTCGATGCCGTCCAGACCCATCTTGAGGACATCCATCTTTGGTCCATAACTCAAACGAACGAAATGGTGGCAAGGACTGTCAAACAGATCTCTTCTCTTCGCCGGGTTCAAATCGAAGAAGATACCAGGGACCACAATGACCTTCTCGGTAAGAAGGGCATTGAAGAAGTTCAGTCCGTCGGAAATATTGGCCTCCTTGGGAAGAGGTGGTTCGAGGGACGTCAGGTCGAGCCAAATATAGAAGGTGGCCTGGGGCACATCTTTGACGCGGAAACCAATCTCGTGCAGTCGCTTTAGGACATAGTCACGCTTCTCCCTGAAGTGCCGCTGCAGCGCCTTCATTTCCGCGCGCACGAGGGAAGGCTCGAGCATAGGGATGGCAGCCTCCTGGAAAGGCACATTGGCACCACCGTCCAGGTAGGAGCCGGCGGAACCCAGTGCATCAATGAACTCCTTGGGACCGACGATCCAGGCGATACGCCAGCCAGGGAGACGGAAACGCTTGGTGAGACCGTCGATCAGAAGAACATCTGTCAGAATTAGCCTCACGGTTTTCACTTGATAGTCCTGATTCAATGAAAGGAAGGGCAGAGGTTGGCGAACCATCTTGATTGACGTCGACGACGTTGGCGGCACCGCTGATCGTCGAACCATCACAGTCAGTGGTGTAGTTGTAGCCACCGTAGAATTCATCCAGAATGAGCGTTGCGCGATCTCTGCAGATGTCCTGGATCTCGGCAAGCTCGTCATGCGAGACAAAGTGTCCGGTAGGGTTACGGGGGTTCGATGTCAAGAGGACAGAGGTTCCGCGAGCAATCTCCTCCGCAATCTTGTTGGGGTGGATATGGTAGTGGTCATCTTCGGCGAGAGGAATGGGAATAGGTGCGATCTATGTAGGAGAATGCTTGTGAGTGACCGTTCTTGACCAACAGCTCCAGACCGCAGGAGGCGCCCAAAGGACCCAAGACTGCCTGAACATGCGACAAAGATGGATTACTCACATTCTTGAATAGCGTCAACATCTCCGAGTAGGCAGAGTAATCGGGAATAGGGAAAGACAGGTAGGAATTGCCCAGAATGGCCGCAATTCGAATCAGTCCCGCTCGGCCTCCAGGGACAATGCAGACATTCTCCCAGGTATACTGGCTTTCCTTTCCTTCACGGTAATGCTCATTGTATAGTCTGGCAACTGCCGCGCGCAGAGGCTTGATACCAGCAGTAGGACCGTATTCGCGGGCAGCAGATGTGATCGGGATACTGGTAGGTCGGGGAAAGCTTCCCTCGATCTCATCGTCGGCTTCGGGCGCACCCTGGCCCAGGTTCGCCCAACCCGAAGGATCCTCTGCGTATCCGTGTTCTACCGCACGTTCTGTACACCAGACGACACCGGTCGAGGCACGGGAAGCATCGAGACCAGCATGGGGACGGTGGCCCTCATGGGCGGCTCTGAACTGACGATGAGTTTCCGAGCGAAGTTCTGCAGAGGTCCAGCTTGTCAGCGCAGTTGTACTTGGTAGGAAGCTTCTGTGGATAAAGTCCGCAATGCCCACAACTTCCAGGTATTTTCCTCAAGACGAAGCCGCAAGTGTACATATGAGACACGCACCATTCTCGGACAATTCCTTTCCAAGGGAGAACCGCCGGTTAGAGGGACGCAGAATGCTCAAGCGACGACCGGAGAACGACATTTTCGTAGACTGTCAGTGGTCCTGTCCTGATGTGGCAGTATGTATAATATGCGAGGAATGTGGATCCTTCTTGGCGACGCCGTAATTATTTCGTAGAGGAAACAAGGATGTTCATGAAACAGAAGTGACAATGATGGCCTATTTGTTGATAGTAATCTTCTACTCCTTCAAAAGCAGAGGATCAATTATATTTATTTATAGGATTGCAAGGCAGAAAGAGTGAAAAAAAAAACTGGGATAAGAGAAACCCCGCCCTACTCCAAGTTTCTCCTACGAAATCGGAGGCTGCCAGCTGAACCATGTTACGGAGTTATCCATCGGCCAGAGTTTGGATAGGATCTCGTAGATACTTCAATTCCTGGGGGTGCCACGGCGTCTAGTCTACCAGATTCCCTTTTGAAAAGTGACCATAGGCATCATTAATTTAGGCCTCCTAGATGAAACAAAATATCCCAGCTCCTTCGCCCGCCGGTGTCGCTTTCCGCATACATAAGAAACCTCCCCCTCATATTCCTTATTCTCAGACCTGGACACAGATGAGGACTCGACTCTCTCAAGCGATACAAGAAGAATCCGCTTTGCTTGCTAAAGACATTGGCCATTACGAAGTGAACACATGCCAGCATCAACCGTCTAAGAAGAACTAGATACTAGATCTCAGTAGATAAAATGCCTCATACAGCACCAGACCGCCGTTCCTTCAAGGCTGATCAGGCAGTCCAGCCCGATCTTCAATGCCAATCGACAAGTCTGGAAACGTTGGGCGCCATACGAAGAGTTCGGATTCTACCCGACCTTATCAGCTAAGCAGCCGCTTGCCCCATGCATTGGGTTCCTGGATATGGGTCCCGCGTCGTCGCTGCCCTGTTCATGCGCGCTGCTGACAACAGGATTATGTATCTAGATGATAATTGATAGCTCTGGCACCCTTACAGGGAGAATGGCATACCAAAGCAACTCGACTCCCAAGATTCAACATGGTCGTTGTGGTTTGCACGTCCAGAGTCTTGGTCGACGACGGAGAGAGGTGGGAGACTAGCTTCCATTTCTCTCAGGCTAAATTGATAGCGGCCAGGCTCCATATGGGTCCACAATTCCACATCTCGGCTTTACTGATACGATAATGTTCAGGGGTAGGAATCTGCTGATTGATGATGTTGAAGCTCGAGTACAGAATAATGAATAATGTCCAAAGACGCTGTGATGGATACATAGTATATCACTATCTGCGTAGACTTACGTTGAGAATTTGCTACAATTGCAAGCGAACTTTGGAGCAATGGATAGTTA